AGCTCTATATAGTAATTGAGGGATCTAGGGGTGACATTCGGACAGCCATCGTCTCCTGACCTCAGAGCTAAACTTTACATTATCTTCTCAAACTCTGTGTCCATTTAGTCATATTAAACTTTCAGTTCATCTAAAAATAATAAAACACAGATATTTTTTTCACCTTATAACAGGATGATATTTTTTCATGTTTAGAAATAAACCTCATTGTGGTCATCAGATGGTTTGTTCCACAATACAAATCTGAGATGAAACACGACAATAAACTAAAACCTCAAACTCTGCTCCAAGTCTATTTCAGAGCAAGTTTGATCAGGATTAGCTCTGCTGGTCAAATATACACTCTGTTGATACACTTTGTCAATCTAGAAATGTCCTGATTTAATCTCAGGTACCAGCCAGAGTTCCACTACCGAAGATTGAGTCTTTAATTGACTGGCTCCCAAGCTGCCTACAAGCCTTTCCTACTGACAGCTGCTAGGGGGTAACTTCTTTTAATCATTGCCTACTTTCCTTTTTCACGACTAGCTCAACTGTCTTAAAGCTCAGGGTAAACATCTTGTTGCTGTTACATTCCCCGGTTTCCCTTACAATGCCAGTGTCTTTCATTCTTTATAAAGACAAATGGAAAAATAAAAGAAAGAGAAAATAGAAACCTGAGCAGAGAGCGGCTGAACCACTTCTAATTAAGATGTTGAAGGCGAAATAAAAAAGGTTTTCCAACAAAAAAGAAAGTAAGAAGAAAAGAAAATATTTTCTCTGTTTATTCTTTACAAAAATAACCCACAACTAAATAGAAATATGCTGTTGTCCTAATTAGCAAAGGACAAACCTCTCCTCAGCAGGAGGAAATCAGAGGTTTATTAAAGGCTATAGCTCTATTTGTGGAGAAAGCAATATGCTTTAAAGTTAAGCTGACCTGTTCTCGGAATATTTTTCTCAATCTCATATACAGAAAAATGGGTACTGGACCACAGCGTGTAACTCATATACCAACCATCTTGAACTTTCCTGCTCCTCTCTCCAGGTCTATTTGTAAAACACGCCTTTTTTTCCAAACACCGCACTCAGATCTCATGCATTTACCACAAATTTTCATGATGAAAAGGTTTCAGAGGAAACAGGCTTGAGAATTTGTCAATTTTTATACATCACTCAGCATACATGACTTTATACAGGTATAACCTGAAAATAATTACAGTACTTCTTCACGAACTGTAAAAATAAAAAAGAAAGAAAAAAGGTCCGAATGTCACTCATATTGATGTGAAGTGTTGCCCTAGTGGTAAGACCAGTGCACTTCTGCTCTAAGAAGGTTGCAAGTCCCCGGTTCAATCCCCACAGCCTGCAATCTGGGTCCCTTTATTGTCCCCATTATATGACAATAAAGGGATTTACACATTGCATGTCAACTGGGTTGTAGAATCCTCTCCCTATAAATATTTAATTCACTGTGAAAAAATACTGATCTTTAAAAAGATCCTCGTTAAACTGAAATGCAATGTTTGTTTTTAAAACCCAATTTCTCTAACAGGCTTACTGAATGCTATCTTTAATATATTGTCTGCACAAAATATGACAAAAGTAACGTGATTGGCTGTAAGGACACTGAGCTTACTGAAAAAAACCTGCTGCTGACCAGGTTAGCTCTGGGGAGAATTTTACTACGGTGACTGAAACAATGTCTGGTTGACTAAACTCTCTTTGTGCAATGCAAAACTCAAAGTTTCCCATATTTCAGGTTAAGAAAACTTGGATTTTTCAGTAAACCTGCTTTGTGAAACGGACCCCTGGAAACAGAAACTA